ACAACGCTGAGCAGGACACCGACACGAGTTCCTTCGAGGACAATGACGATGCCGCGACGAAGTAACAGCTGTTGGAGGACGTGTCCTTTTCAGTGCAGAGCAACTTGGCGGAGAGACGCAAGCGCGAAGAGGAGGCCGCGATGGATCCCCGTGCTCTGAACTTCGCCAAGAGGCAGCGCATGTTCGAGGCTTTGTCAAAGACGTTCGGTGCCCCGACGAAGCTGGGGAGTTGCGCAGTCGCATGGAGCAGGCCTACGCCAAGGTGCGATCAGTGTAAAAGGTCATCCGCCGCAAGGGCAAGGACAAGCAGCCAAGGAAGGGGCGGCAGGCCCGAGGGCCGGGATCCCCTAGTTTGAAGCCGTGATCAATGACACGACTGGTCAATTCGGAGATCTGCGAATGTGCGACGCCTCACCTTGCCGAGATGGAGGGGGTCACCGACCGAGCTCGAGCAGAGTGCCAGTGGTTGAAGCTGGACGCCGCAGCTACATCGCTCCCTTGAAGAAAGCCGTTGGATTCTATCTGGATCCGGCGCCGGTGCTTGGATCTCGTTTTGTTCTTACAAACAAAGGGGCCCCGCCTTGTTGAAGGCTCGTTGGATCTTCGGTGGACGTAAGGACTCGGATGCCGGACTTTATGATACCTCCTCGCCTACGGCAGGCGTCCTGGGGCGCAACTTGATCAACTTCGTGGCGTTGCAGGCAAGGTGGGCGGTTCTTCACTTCCTGGACGTCAGTGCTGCCTTCCTTCAAGGCAAAGAACTCCCTCGCAAAGAACGCATTCATGTTAAGGTCCCCAAGGGCTATCCCCCAAACTGCTTGAATTAATTTTTGGTCTCAGAGTTGGGCGAGAATGTTCGTGATGATCTAAGATCTATAGTGGAACTCACAAAAGGAGGTTTTGGGCAGCGGCTGCCAGAAAGCCCTAGTTTGTGGCACCTCGAGTGCAAGGACACGATCCAGGACTTGGGCTTGTTTGAGATGAGTCTTCTTCCTGGCGTCTTCCGGGCTTTCCACCCGCCTGATCCGAGCCCTGGCGAGCGTCGGCGCAGGAGATCTGGGATCAGCTGAGGACGCGGCTGGCGTTTGGCAAGCAACGCAAAGCCACGGCTGGCTGAGTACTCCATGGAGGAGTACACGAAAAAACATCCTCCGTGCCAGGACTCGAACTTCAAGGCCTACGGCCTCCACGTCTTCTACCTTGGCGGCTTCTTGGACGACTCCGACTACGGCAGGCTCGGCGGCTGGACAGACGCCGGCGTCTACGGCTTCTCAGGCGACATCGACTACGACACGGCATCATCAGGATCTTCCATGGCCGTTCGCTCTGATGACGTTGAGTGGGTTGAGGAGCCGATAGCCAACGACTCCGACCTGTGGGGCTACTTCCAGGACTGTGTGGACCAGCTGGGCCCCCTCATCATTAGCTCCATTGCGGGGCAGCTGAACTGAAGTGGGCTGCAAGGCTGGTTCAGCAACTGGCTGGCCCTGGGTGAATTGAGGCGCTGAAATGGCCCAATTTGGGGGTGAAGTGGGCGCACAAGCCTCTGATCTTCAAAGTCCGAAACCTGGGCTGCCCCCTGGAAGACATGGTCATGCTGTTGATCTCCGTCAGTGATGCCGCCTATGGAGCTATGAGGTCACAGCCAAGGAGGCAACCTGGTGCCCATCCATGTGTCCCTCAAGTGTGCGTTTTGGAGGGGAATAGCGCCAAGGTGCACTGTGTGGTGCGCTGCTCCATGTCCGCCGAGATATCATCAGGGGCAACCGCCTACGAGCACGGCGATTACGTGAGGGCTGTCCTGGCTGAGCTGTTGGATTCTCGCTCTGAAGTTCAGCGCTGGAAGGCGCACGTTGCTCAATGGCGGCATGTGTTGGCCACGGATGCCAAGACAGGATATGATGCCATATCGAGTGAGACCCTGCCCAGCGATAGAAGATTGCGATCGATGTGGCCGTGCTCTGCAAAGCAGTCTTGAAGGCAGACGTTGGCTGCTTTGTTCGATGGGTGCCAGGTTCTGAGATGGCTGGGGATGGCCTCACGAAGTGGGTTCATAACAAAGTTCTTTGCAAGGTGATCGCCGAAGGCGAATGGGCACTCGCAGACAATGCGGAAGCTAGAGAGCCTTGCAAGTTAGCTGTGGTCAAGAAGGCGTTTTGGCATAAGGGCCAGAAGACTGTACAGCAGTAGGGTTTGTTTTCCCAGGAGGTCTGGACTGAAAGCGTCACCAAAAAAACCCTTGCTGCACAGGTGCAATTTTCTCAGAAACTTCGTGCCGCAGCCATTGTGCAGGCTTGGACAGGGTGCCAGTAAAAGGGCCAGTGCTGCCTTCCGGTGTTCCCGTTAATCCAAGCTGCGCCTAAGCGGTTTCATTTTATAATCATTACTCCAAAGACCGTGCCTGTTAGTCCAAGTTGCGCCCAAGCGGATGAGGAGTTTTGGTTTCAGGTCATCGTCGCCGCATTATTCCGGGGATCGTTTCCGTTAGTCCAGCTGCGCCCAAAGCAGGTGAGTAGTTGATTTAACGTTACAGTCGCCCCATTAGTCCAAGCTTCGCCCCATGAGTCCAGGGATCACTCTCGTTAGTCTCAGCAGCACCCAAGTGGATCAATATTTTTGACTTGCACATGCTTGCTTGCCACCGCTTGCTGAACATGACACTGTTGTGAACTCGCTGGGGTTCGCCTGAGCAGCGAAGCTTCCTGCCCATTTTTTCCACACATGCCGCGAATTTTGCTCAGCCAACCCGAATCATGGATTAGTGGGCGCACGTTTACGCCCCAGACAATTGTTTCCGTTGTTTGGGGCGGGGCCATGTAAGTGTTGGGAGCGTAAGAGGCAACTGATCAGCCAGAGTGCAATGCCCGTTCACGAAAGGAACCTTTGCCTTGATGCCGTTTTGCACGTTGGGGTTGTTCCAAGAACCTCTGTTTTTCAAGAGGAGCAAAAGAGGGCACGCAAGATGAAAGGAAGCGTTTGTTTTTTCTTGGGCATCTTTGCAAAGGATTCGTGATAAACTTCATGGTTATGTCATCTCCGTCGGATAGAATCTGTGAGGCTAGTATTTTGGCCCTCCAGCGCCAAACCTGTCACAGGGCAAACATGATCCCACCTTGTGGTGTTTTGACGCAGGTAAAACCACGTTTCAAGCCCCAACTTGAGGCAGGTATTCCATGCCCTTGGACTTTGTCCAGACATTGCGCGAAGTTTCGCAGAGTATCGTGAAAGCCATCTGAAGCTCAGGGTTGGTTGAAAGCCCTGCGCAAGCTGTGCGTCATTTTCATGCCATGAACGAGTTCTGTGCTTCAGCTTCTTCCCATGTGGATTTTGAAGTAGATATGAAAGTCTTGTGAAAGAAAACGCTACAAACAAGCGCGCTCTTCAAAGTTGGCTGTCTTCTATGAAAGGAATGTTGAGCAATTGCTAGAACTTGCCCAGGACCGCGATGTCCAGAGCAACGCCAAGAATCTGAGTGGTTTAACTACAGAGTTTGTCAACACACAGGTGCGCCTGCCATCCATGTGCGGCCGTATTGTGCTGGTGGTTGCCTGCGATGTCAGGGTGATGTGCATACCCTAGCAGAACGGTGCCTGTCTTATTCCAGCATGCCTTGCACTGAGGGGCGGACAAAGAGTGCTGTTCAAACTGAGGTTGGAGGTTGCACACGACTTTCTCCGTGGTGTCGGGAAGGGCTTCCAAGATGCCCATAAGCAGGTGTGGCTGTGCCATTCTTCGCCATTCTCCGGACAGAATCTCACTCTTTCTACAATACAATTCCTGGAGGTGACTCTACATGCTGGTATTTGTCTCTATTGCAAACTACATTGCATGACCACTTTTGCTGCATGAGGTGGATGCTGCTCCAGGCAGACTTCACCAGGAGAAGCCTTCGATGCTGCCACTTCTTCCCAGCAACATGCAGGCCTGGTTGCTGCAGGTACCTATCAGATTGGCACAGCCTAGTCATTTGGCGCTTCTCGTGGTAAGAGCTCTCAAAGGCAATCGTGTGGATACACTCTGATCAGGTGCCACAAATACATGGAACTTGATCTGGTTAGATCGGGGTGACTGTAGCTCGACACCAAAAGCATCACAAAAATCACTTAGCCAAGCTAAAGTGACATCCGGTGTGCCAACATAAGAATTTTATGTCGCTGAGCAATTTTCCAGGCACCGCGGCCAAGCACTGCACCGACTCGCCGGCCTTAGTGAACTGGACGAGGGTTGTTTCGTAGCGTGGGTGACAAACCCCCACAACTGTGTCTATGAACCCGCCATCTGCACCTGCTTGGATTTGTTACTGAGTTTACAGCAGCATTCTAGAGAGATGGTAGGAAGAAGAGGAAGCAAAGCGTTCAACAACATGCTTGCATGCCCTGGATCATGCATAGGTCGTCCTGCATGGGAACTCAGCATTTTCAACAGTCATCATGCTGCAGTCAGAGCCTAGCATCAAGGTTAACCGCTTAGATCTCACGAGCCTTGCGTCTTCAGGGCAAATTCGTCGTAGAATTGGGTCAAACTGCAGCTGGCCATTTCAGCCCAAAGCGTTTGCACACTTTGACCTGCTCTCAAGATCCTGGCAGCCAGAGGCACCTGGTGATGAGAGCATCTGGCATAAACTTGCATAGTTGAACATTGGCATTCAAAGTGGGTAGACTTTCATGTCTTGTTCCCCAATAAAAGCTGGTAGCTTAGCAGATGTCCCAATAGTAACGCTGAGGCGCTACAAAGCAAGCCAGAGCTTGAACATGTTTTTGCTACCTGATCAGCTTTGAACCAATTTCAGACATTTCTCCCGCATAAGCCAGTCTAGATTGAGGTAGGCGGTTGGGTCTGCGTTGGTCCCCACACAAGGCTGGAATGCCTGGCCAAGCCATGCCTTCTCGGCCCAGAGGTTGCGCTGTCGGAAAATCAATGGTGGCTTCTCCGTGTGCGCTGCTGCAATGTTGGGCTGTTTTCGCTGGGCAGGATGACAATCCTGAGTGCCATTAGTGCAGGTGAAGTACATCGAGAAGCGGGTCCCCAAGAAGGTTGTCAAGTGCCGCCATGGTGTGTCATGTTTGCCCCGAACTGTTCCAATTCTATTGCGCGGTTGGGACCTTTAGCAGATCTCGGGATGAGCCCGAAAGACAGAAGAGGTTCTGGCCCCCCTGCAGGCCCTGAAAGGCCCCTCCCATCCTGGAGGCTGTCCAAGACTGACTGGAGGGCCCTGAAAATCTGAGAAAAAGAGATGGTGATGAAGTGCCCGAGCCCCTGGGTGATACGCCAAAATCAGCCTCCAAGAAAGCGCAGACCGTGACCGCCGGCCTCTTCGGACTGTGTTGCATGGAAGCTGTTCCAGGTATGTGGAGAAAGTGGTCGAAGTTCCACAGGCACAAGACTGGTTATGGGACCACGTCTCACTGTGCACAGAGACCAGCTGGGTGAATTAAAGCAGACTCATGCAGAAGCTTACATATGATGCATGTGCAGGTGATCTACGAGGAGCGTGCTATAGAAGTTCCTGAAGTCATCAACGTGGAAGCCGTGACACAGGCCAAAGCTCCATCTTCTGCAAGGTTTGTAAAGCCATTCTGATTCTCCATGCGACAAGTCCGCTGGGCCTTGCTGCCTGTTCGTCTCTGGTATGCTACGCTGGTCCCGGCAGGTGCCTCGACCCCACATCCAATACGTGAAGAAAGAGGTGCCGAAGGCAATCCTTTCCCTTCTGGCTGCTCGCTTTCTCTCTATCTTTTGAGCAAGAGGGTCTTTGTCAGCAGCCTTGGTGTGAAGCCATGTCATGTCCGTTCTCGGGCAACTCAAAACAATTTGCGCCTCAGCGTGGCGGCGTGGCGCGATCTTCCGCAAGGAAACAAACTTGCTGGACGTCTGCAACCAGGTCTTTGCGCGCATGCTGGTGGAGGGGAGAGTTCTGAAGAAGAAGCATCTTCATGCCGTGGGTAGGCTTCAGCCACTGAGAATTCCGAGCAATGTACTCTAGGTTTGCCTTATCTGCACATGTAGAGTCATTGATAAGTGTGCTCTAGGCTATCCCATCCTCGGAGTACATGTCCCCAGCAACAACAGACGTCAGGCCAGCATTTTGGGGAGGGGGGTCAAACAAAAAACAAATAAGGATCAAAAAAAACAAATAAGGATCAACAAAAAAACAAATAAGGATCAACAAAAAAACAAATAAGGATCAAAAAACAAACGAAATCCTGGATTTTATAGTAAAACACAGTATTTCTGGCCTCCCGAGCAGGGATCAAAAAACAAAATATTCGAGCCCTAGGCCGGAGGAGGAAAGAAAGAAAGAAAGAAAGTAAGAAAGAAAGAAAACA